CTATCCTTCCCCCTCCCACCCCTCCCCCTCCCTCAGCCTCTGCGAAGAGCTGCTCTGGAGCCTGGACCAGCTGCTGGGCATGGACAGGTCATGCTCATCGGGCACTGAGAATGTATGCTGGGCCCACAGCTGCCTGTATTCAGGATTCCAGGCAGGCGGCAAACTCCTTGAGCAGAGAGTTCAAGCACCTTTGTGCTGCCTGGGGCTCCTATCTGGGTGTCTAACAAAGAGTGGGCATTCAATGACACTTGTGCTGATTCAGTCAAATAATACAAAGCCTTGCATCTGGTTTCCCTCCCCACCTCGGCCCCTCACCTTCTGTGCTTCATCTCCCTGGGCCGTCTCCTTCTCCCCAGGGCTACACAAGCAGGCTCTCTCCTTATGGTCCCCAGGCTGGCTCTGGCACCCTGCAGCCCTACACACCAGGCTCATGTGTACCCCCCATCCTTCCCTCTCCTGAGGCCCAGGCAGGTGGCCCGGCTGACCTGGCTCTCAGAGAACTGGAACATCTCCATGGCCTCCTCCACCAGGCCCTCCTCGTAGCCCTGCCGCAGCAGCCGGTCACAGGCGCTAAGGTAGCTGAGAAACTGGGCCAGAAAGGGGCAAAGAGGGAGGGGTGGTAAGAGGAGTAGCAGAGGCAGCAGGTGGGGTGGAGGAGTCACCCCAAGGACCTCATTAAGGCCTGAGCTCAGGCCAGCTGACTAGGCACCCCACCACATACCACATGGCCCCCAAAACCTCATAAGCCAATAGAAGAGGAGCAGGCCTCCTCTAGAGACAGCAAGTTCTCACCGTAACACTTGTGGGCGGGAATCCGGGAAAGGGGCTGTCAGGGTGAGCTAAGTAAGGTGTTCCCAGAACTTAAACACAGGGGTCTCACTCACCCCCGCCCCGGCCTGCTCACCCTCCCTGGTGAGCGCCTACCTGTGTGAAGGTGTCATCCACACCTATGTGCTCCCCACCCCATCCCTAGACACATACGTCTCTGCCACCCAGGACTTCATGAGCGCCCCTACACAACAGACCTGCATCAGTGCTGGAAAGAGGAGGGGCAGAGGAGGGTCTCACAGGGCTGAGGACCTGTTCAGGTCACTTCCTGCCTAGTCATGGGGGCTGCTGTTGCCCTCAGGATGAAGCGCTGCCTCCCAAGCAGAGCTCAGGGGCCTGCTCCTGCCTGTCAGTCACCTCAGCTCCTCCCCCAGGCCCCCTAGGTTTCCCTATATCCAACTCCCTCACCAAGGCCAGCCTCAGTCCTCTTACCTGGGGACCCTCTCTGCCCGTTTCCAAGGTGCTGTGCTTGGGGCTCCCACATCACATACAACTTTGTAACTGCTCTACTGTCTTTCTCATATTTCTCATCCACTGACTTTTTGTTCCACGAGGGAAGGGTTGTGTCAGTCTTGTTTTCCACTGTGTCCCAGCACCCAGCATGGCAGGCAGAAGGAGCTCAATAAATACATGCTGTGTTTATAAAGTGAATTTAAAACTACCTTCAAGGAGCTCCCAGCTCAGTGGGGGAGATAAACCAGATCCAGGAAATCATGAAGCCCAGGCAAGTCAAAGCAGGGTTTATAGGGAGTCAGAGCCAATGAAGGCGCCAGACCATAAGAACTGTGGGTATGAGTGGAGAAGAAACACGGGTTTCTGCAGACCTTCAGAGCTGGGCAGAGGCATGGCTAATGCAGATGAATGGTTTTAGCTTCTGAACTGTCCAAGCACTTGCCCCAGGACTCCTAGTCCTTGCCCTGAGCACATCTGAAAACCACCCAGCCAAGCTGTCCTTCCACACTTGAGGAAACTGAGGTCCAAGCAACACAGGCAGCTTACCCAGGGTCCCATGACTAGGCCTAGATCACCTGCCTCGCGCCAATGCCTTGTCCATCACGGGGCCAACTACTAGAGGAGGGGCTTGAGCCAGCTTGAAAGTAGACAGGGTTTCTGAAGGTGAAAACAGGAGAGGGGGCAAGGGCAGATGGTGGATGTTCCCTTCACATCTTAGCTCATCCACAGCAATGGCTCTTGGCCTTGGTGCTGATTGCAGCTACCTGGGAGATTTAAAACTACCTATAAACTACTGACGCTTGCCTCCAGAGTCTCTGGTATAATTGGTTTGGGCGTGCTGGTCTGGGGGGCACTGGGATTGTTACAGAGCTCCAGGGGATTCTAATGGGCAGCCAAGGTTGAGGACCACTCACTCAAGGGACAGCTGACCTCAATCAATACCATAGAACCCCAGGCCTGGCTGCATATCGGAACCATCTACAGAGCTTTCAAATGACAGGCCCTCAGGGGCACTCCAGATCCACTGACTGAGACCCTCCAGGGTAGGTCCTGGGAATCTGCATTTGTAAAGATTCTGCTGCTTTGTCAGTTTGGGGCCCCAGAGGACTGTAAAAGCCACCAGGCTTGCCTCAAACCCCAGGATGGGGCCTCCAGAAGTCATTGATTATAAGCACCTATTCCCCCTCCATTCTGTGAATAGGTAAGTGAGGCTCAAAGAGGGGCCTCAATGTGCCTGGAGTCTCACTGCAAGCCTGGGCCTGGTCTATGGGCCCTCGCATGTGCCACCCATGTGTCCTGCAGGCAGTCAGTGGGCACTTTGATCCTTGTGGAGGAAGGAGTGATGGACAAAGCTTATCTTTGTGTCTCCTCCGTTCTCCCTGGTTCTTCTACATGAAGATCACCTGGTGCCCTCCCTCGTGGACCATCTCTGGCCATAAAGGATTTACTGTAGTGTTTATCTTTCAAGGGGAGAAGGAAACTGAACGCAAAGGAGTTTCTTGGTTAATGGTGGAACTTCACAGAATAGAGGGAAATATTAACTTGGTGGGGGAGGACAGTTGAAGTCACCCAATGGCCCTTCAGGCCCACCCCTCAGGGCCTAGCCCCTGACTGCCCACCGGGGAAGGAGGCCATCCAGAGACCCGCGGGCCAGGCAAGTGGTATGTGTCTGGAAACACAATGTTCCAGATGCAGTGAGATTCTTCCAGCCCACCCACAGGGAGGCCAGTGCCTCTGCTTGGCTCCAGCTAGTCTTTAGATCTCCACAGCGATGGCCTGAGACCTCAGCCTTGTCACAGGTCCTAGAGGCTGGGAGGGTGGGGTTTATGGCAGAGCCTCCTCTGTGGGCCTGGTTCCTCACAATCCTCTGGGTAGCTTCTCAGGCACAGTCCTGGCTTTCAGTGGCAACTGAAGGTGGGGGCCACTTTATTTATTTATTCTTAACCCTCACCCAAGGATATTTTTTCCATTGCTTTTCAGAGAGAGTGGAAGAGAGAGAGAAGAGAAACATTGATGTGAGAGACACATCAATTGGTTGCCTCCCGCATGCACCCTGAGGGATTGAGCCTGCAACTGAGGTACCTGCCCTTGACAGGATTTGAACTTGAGACCCTTCAGTCCATGGGCCAATGCTCTAACCACTGAGCCAAACCAGCTAGGGCAGTGGGGGCAACTTTAGATCTATTCTTAAACCTCAGGTGAGCCTGAGGTGCTACCCTGGAAAGTTCTCACACAGAAAATGAGAGAAAAGCACTGTGCAACAAAGATTCAGAGTTAAACCAGCCTTAGTTTCCTCATTTGCAAAATGGGACAGTAATAGCAACCTTGCAGAATTGAGGAGACCTAATTGTATACTCTCAGATTGAGGGCCTGGCACAAAGAAGGTGTTTACTAAATATTAACACCACCAGTGACTGACTGGTGAAGGGATATAAAGCTCCGACCATCTCAGCCCCACTTAGGATGACTCTGAAGGGCCATTTACGCTCTAGAGCTGTGGCGTTGGCTGACTGTCGTTGGGTCTACAAAGTTCAACTTCTCCATCTACCCACTCCTGCTTCTGTCCACTCCTTTCTCCAGCTATTGTTCCCAAAAGCTTCCTTAATAACTCCATCTGAGTCTGCTTCCTGGGGAATCCAACCTACAACGGTGGTTTTTATGTGCCCTGGTTTCCCCCATACTTCCTAGCTGCAGCTAAAGATCCGGGAAACACCCAATAAATACTGTTGACTAGATGTATGGATGGGGGGATGGAAAGAGAGATGGGTATGGGTAAACCATTTGTTGAAGGAAGTGGTTAAAGCTGCACCATCCAGGATGGTATCCAGTAGCCACATGACACTATTTTAATTAATTAAAATTAAATAAAATTCTCAGTCACACTAGCCACATTTCAAGAAACCATGTATGGCTAGTGGATACTGTATTGGACAACGGGTATAAAACATCTCTCTCATTGCAGAGTTCTACTGGGCAGCTCTGTTGAGATTCTTGGATGCCTAAAGTTCCAGCCCCTGCATTTGGAGCAGAGACCAGGAGAGGAGCAGTATATCAAGACTCCCCAAGTGGGCATGGGGATTCCTAATAAACTCCTATGGAGAAAGTAGCATTAGGGTCCAGAAACTTGCTCATAAGCCCCAATAATTAACGCCAGGCTGAGATTCTGCCTCTAAAGAGAAGGAAACAAAACTTCAAGTTAAAAATCAAACCACATGGCCACCCACCTGGTTCCAGCTCCACAGGCCCCCAGCTCTGGATGATCACTCACCTGGCTCAGGCTCTGACGCCCCGTCTTCTGCAGAGCCACGATGGCCCTGTGCAGGGGATACCCCAGGGAGACCACTGGCCCGATGAGGTCTTGCTCCTCCTGGCTAAGGGCGGATAGCAGGTCAGCAGAATCAGGATGTGATCTGCGGGCGAGGAGAGGCTGGGGCTCCCGCCCAAGAGGTGGCAGGCAGGTGTATGGGCCGAGGGACTGAAATACAGACAAGCTGGATGTGTCACTTATCACTGGAAGCAATATCTGGCTGGGCAGGGCATGCTTAAAGGTGCCTTTGCATGGCACCTTCTATGCAGAGTGTCAAGGCGAATGCTGTGAAGGGCTTGGAGTCCTGCTCCGGTTCAAACGCCAGATCTCTGCTGTTTACTCAGTTTACTCATGTGTAAATCATACCAGGCAATCATGCCAGATACTTCAAGGGTTGTTACAAGGAGAAAAGTAATTAGCCAAGGACCTGGCATACAGAAACTGACAGTACATGATATTATTTCATTTATAGCTTAAAACAACCCTGCAAGAGAAATAGGATAGATCTATCCTATTATACCATTTTACAGATATTGAAATCAAGGTTCAGAGAAGTTATTGAGCTGGTAAGCAACACATATTTGGGACCTGAACCCTACCCAGAATCAAATCTAGGGTTCTTTACCCCACACTTTAGGGGGATCCTCCCAGCCAGACCCTCATTCTTGAAGTTGGCTGGGCTGAGGCTTGGCAGGGCACAGAGAGGGGTACAGAGTGGATACAGCTATGGTGTGGGGGAGACCCACACAGACCCTGGGCTAAGATGGGTGGCCTCAAGACCTTTCCACTGTCTGGCCAGCATCATCCCTAACCCTTCCCCCATGAAGAAGTACCTATCTGTGAGCACTGAATACACCTCCTTGTCCCCTCCTCCCCAAGGAAAGCCCAGCTGCTGCCCTGGGTCCTGGTGCAGAGTGTGTGTGTGTCACATATGAATTCCCCACCCATCCCCATCTGCTCCGGGGTTTCTCTGCCATGACCTCACCCTTGGGTCTGCCCTTTACTCCCAGAGTGGAAAACATCCAAATCTTAGGCTCTGAGTCTACACTTGTGACACTGAAAAAGATTCTTAGCTGCTGTCTGCCTCAATTTCCTTCTCTACAGAACATCTGCCCCACTTCCCACCCCCAACACACACACACACACACACACACACAGGGTTGTTGCTAGAGTTAAATTTAATCTGGATCAGGGAAGAGCCATCCTGGCATCACCATCTGGTCCTTGATGTGGGCATGGCCAGTCCAGCTCACAGAGCCTCTCCTCTATGTTTGCTTCATCAGCTGTGGGAATGGTTGCTGGCCCTCTTTACAAACGGAGAAGGGACAGCTCAGAGCACTTCAGTGACTTGCATAAGGTCACACACCAGTGAGTGGAAAAGCCAGACCTCGAGTCTCTCTTCAATTTAATTTCATGTTGGCCTTATTTGTTTGCATCTACTGGCTTGACTGTGGGGCTGCTGGGGGGGAGGGGGAGCAGAAAGCTGTGCCCTATTGCGACCACCTGCTACTAATCCCGACACACCCCATCTGCTCAGGATGCAGATTGCATGGAGCTTGATGCTTATACAATTTGGACCTCTTAAAGAAAAAAAAAAGACATTTATATTATAAATACAAATACAAAGCTTTGGAAGGAGCAAAGTCAGGGGCCGAGGCTTAAGCTTCATTGGTTTCATGGTAAGTTCATTCCTGCCCCCTTTCTGGGAACAGTCCTCTGATCAGAAGCCCTCCCAGCCGGTAACAACATTCCCCTCTCTCAACGCCCCATCCCCCGCTCCCTATGTGGCCTGCCTTGGCCCCATACCCCCTTGGGCAACTCTCCTCATGCAGTGTTTTGACCTTCTGTCTCTTCCCGCGCAGTGTCCGGCAGGAATGAACGGACAGTGACTACTCTTTGAGCCTTCAGCGCACCCGGCCCACAGCAAGCCCTGCCCACAGTAAGCCCTAGGTTTGGGTCGCATCGATTAATTCAACAGACATTCACTGAGCACCCCCTATGGGCCAAATATGCGGCTGGGTGCTCTGGGAACAAAAACAAATGCGACTCAACCTCTGCCCTAGAAGAACGCGCGCTCCGCTGGGAGAGAGACAAACAGGGACCGGGCAGCTCCAGTTACGCCACGCGCCCTAGCGGAGGCAAAGCGGGCACCGTGGGAAACAGGGAAGGGGGCTCTAAGCAGGGAACCCAGACTATGGGGGTCTTGCTGCTGATCTGTGGCCTTGGTGGAGGCGGCGAGTTCCTTACCGTGACCGTGGGCTTGTGGCTCCGCAGCGGGGACGC